CCTGGACCAGCAGGGCCAGAGCATCATTCATGGCGAGAGCTGCTGGTTACACTAAGCGCCTACCACATGCCAGGCACTGCGCTAAGGAATCGGTGAATCTTCTCCACAACCTTGTGAGAAACGGCTGTCATTGCTTGGACAGATGAGGAAACCGAGGCTCCAAGGCACTCCAGATCACATGGGGAGGAAGTGACAAGGCTAGGATCCGGTCCGCAGCTTGAGCCTTCTGAGTGAAGGCCTGTGAGAGGAATCCTTGAGGCCTAATGTCAGGTCCACTCTCCACACGTGGCCCAGAGAAGGAGACTAATGCTACATTTCATCAAAGACTGGTAGGCGGTCACCAAGGGCACTTTGAGGCCATGTATAACAGCACTCAAAAAAATTTAAGAGTTTTTATACAGTTGAATGCTTTCTTTGAAAACTATCTTATGAGTAAGTCCAATCTAGAAAAACAGAGTTGGGCTCCCATGGTTGAAGGTGGAAGCAGGGTTGGCCTGGGGCCCCCAGAGCACCGCTTGAAGGCCACTTATCCAGTAGGTTGGCATTTACTGTGAGCAGCACAGGAGGTGTCATGATGCTTAAGGTTCTAGTTCTGGGTTCAAAAAGAATGAAGTGGGACTGTGGCAGACCCCTTCCTGGGTTAGTCGGTCTCGGGGACGGCTGCAGGGTCCCAGGCTTGCCATAACACATTGGGCGTTGGTCTATTTGACTTGGGCACCATCAGCCTCACCCTCCCCTCTGGCCAGGAGTCACTCACAGGGTAGGAAACTCACCTTCATCATTTTACATTTAGTAAGTCTCATCTTTAAAGATATGGATTACGAGGTTAAGGCGGCAGCACCCTTCCTTTGTCCTTGCCCTTATAAAAGGCATCATCTGGATTTTTCTTTATCAACAAAAGTAGAATGTTCAAGTTCAGATCTTGGTGTTGGATCAATGACAGATCTGTACCTCTGGCCCTGGTGCAGGTGCTGGTGGGATGGCTCACAGCGGAATCATCAAACGGACATCCTTCTCATAGATGTCAGGGATCACTCCCATAGGGGAGTTGACCATGTGCACAGTGTTCTTGCCAAACAGCTGGAACTCATAGTGGATGAGCTGCTCCCAAAAGCCATTGTTGGGCCGGATAATGGGCCGGCACGACTTGGTCCACGTGTGGGCGTCCAGCAGGGACATGGCGTGATACTTCATGAGGTAGGCGAGGCAGAGAGCGGCTGAGCGGCTCACGCCGGCAGCACAGTGCAGCAGCGTGCGGCCCTGCTTCACCTCCACACTGTGGATGTGGTCAGCGATGGGGTCAAAGAAGTCAAAGAGACGCGAGACAGGTGTGTCGGCCACAGGCACCTGCACATACTGGATGTCTTCGTATACAGTGTTCATCACCTCCACTGAGACGTTGATAACCGTGGTGATGTGGTTGCTGGAGAGCATGAGCTTGTTGTTGGCAGCCACCCCATTGCTGATATATAGGCTGCTTGTGATCTGTGAGAGGCCACTGATTGAGGGCTGCCGGAACTGAACCGGGAAGGTACACGGGGGTGCTGTCATCAGGCCGGTGGGTCAGCGGCCAGTGAGGCATAAAGGCTGCATTTTTCTGCCAGGCTATGTCATGGAAAACTGCAAGAAGGGAGAGAATGTTTAGAGGGCAGGAGCCCAGCTGGGCCAGCAGGCCAACCCCAGGGGATTTCTGGGAAATGGATGGATTGGCCTATAGCAGAATTCCCCAAAGTGGTCCTCTGACCATCTGAGAAGGATTCCCCAGGGAACTTATCAAAAATGTAGATCCCCAGGCTCCTCCCCAAACCCACAGAGTAGGCTCTCGGAGTGAGGAGCATGAATCTGCATTTTCAGCATGCTTCTCAGGAGATCTGACATGTGTTGCCCTACAGGACAAAGGCTGTGCCCCCAAGCCTGGCACTCAAGGCCTCCCTTGAGCAACCCCACATTTCAAGTTGGGCAGGCTGACTTGTGTCCCTAAGCTGTGCCTTGGCCTGACTCTCCATCTAGGCTCACACAGCTGTCCTCTCCCTTTTCTTCAAAATTCTCTCCTTCCTTCCAGCCCCTCTAATGGGAACCACTTGTATCGTCTCCCTCCTCAGTCTTCTGATTTTATGCTCAAATCATGAGATTCTGAATCAGTGACATGGAAACAGAGCCCACTGTGCTGGGCGTCACTGGAGGTATAAGAGAGAGGAGGGTCTCAGCTTCTCCCCTCCAAGAACCATCTTTTTTGAAGAGACAGGATGTGCCCATGTGAAACTGACATCAAGTTAGAGAGTACTACATTGTTAACCATACTTCTGCACCTTGCCCCCAAGGAGGGCCTGGCAAAGACGGTGGCTGAAAGCTTCCTGGAGGCCAGCTTCCTGGGGGCACCACAGCAGCCCCCAAGAGGAAGTGCAGAGAGGCCTCAGGTAGACAAGCCATCCCAGCATAATGCTGTGTGCAGCAGGGCTGTCGCAGGCACCCCAGAGAGGGGCAGACTCCTGCCTTCTCCTAAGAAATCCTAGGCCCCTCACTCTCTCAGTCTTGAGTAAAGCTGAAAAAAATAGCACATCTTCACGTCTTTCAGTGAAATAGGAGTATTCAGTTTTACAGCAAACCTCTCAAGGCCAAATGGCAGTCTTCACCCAGCACAGAAAAATGAGGAGCCGAAGTTCTGTTCCCCTGATTAATACATTTCAGCAGCTGCTCCTTGTCAGGATAAGATGGAGCCCCTTAGCTCGGCTGTCAAGGCCATTTGTGGCCTGGCTCCAACCCCTCTCTCCTGCTTCCTATTAGCCTTTCCCACATCCTGAAGGGCCTCAGCTAGGCTGAGCCACTTGCAGCTCCATGTGGACATCCACCTCTCTGGCCAGGGGCCTTTGCCTTTGCTGCTGTCTCAGCCCAGAACCCCCTTTCCTTCCAAGCCTGTCAGATCCTGATCTGTTCCATTCAGCAGAGGATTGGTGAGCCTTGGGATCTTAGCCAAGGGTCACTTTCTGAGGGAAACCACCTGGGACCACAGCCCTCCCCACAATTGCTTAAGTCCCTGCTCCAGGCGGGCCCCATGTGCTCTCCTTCCTAACACTTCCTGAAGATGTGGTTTTGCCTTGATCTGTCTGTGAGTTCTATGGGGATACCACTGTGCCTATCTTCACTCCTACTGTATCACTGGTGCCAAACTCAGTGTCCCCACAAGGTCGTGCTTGATAAATATTTGTTGAACGAAGGAATGACTCCAACAACCATGACTCTGCCTTCTGAGAGGTTCTCTGGAAAGGATGAGTTCTCTGGCTATGTTTCTCTAGAATTTGGTGAGGAGCTGGGTGGAAGAGGCAGGTGGTTCCTAGGCTACTGGAGAGAAGGCCAAAAGGTTGCACAGGCAGATCCTACTCTGCTAGTTCACTGGAGTCAAATGTATCAGGCTCACCCCCAGGAAGGGCCACGGGGGCTGGTTTGTTCTAAGGGTCATGTGAGGGCAGGGAAAAAAGCCCCCCAAAACCCAGGTGGAGGCCTAAATGCTAAGGGATGTTCTGGATCCTCATCATCCAAAAACCCAGAGAGAACTGGATTGAGGGCCCCCAAAACTAGTGTCCAGTGGACAACAGGAATAGGGGAGACCGCTGTTCATTACAGCGACAAGAAGTTTGCAGAGGAGACACTGCTTTTTAAGATGAGGGTAGTGATGGGAGGAGAGTCATCTTCATGCTAGGCAAGAAATATGTATCAGGCACTGTTTTCGGTGCTGAGGATACCGAGACGTACAAGACAGCCATGGCCCCCTTCTTCACAGAGCTCAAAGTCTAGAGGGAGAGGGACATCAAATAGGCAATTACAGGCACAACAGAGTGGGAAAATAGGGATAACAATGCCTACCTTATAAGGATCTTCGGAGGACTAAATGAGGTAATGCAGGTAAAGTGTTTAATACAGGGCCTGGCACATAGTGAGCCCTCTGTAAATGCTAACTATTCTTGCTGTTGTTAGGAAAGTTAAAACGCAGGGCAACATGGAAGTGAAGAATAAAGGGATTTATTTCAGGCTCGGGGCCAGAGAGTGATCGCCTGAAGAAATGACACAAACAAGAACGTTCAGCACGAGGGGGAGGATGGTGGAGAAACAGTGACTCTGCAGTTCACATTCACCATTTTATAGCCTACAAAGCCTTTGGCTTCCCTTTTGGTAACATCTCCAAAGCAACATAACAGGCCGGTGTCTGGAGTTAATATTTCCATTTTACACGTGGGGAAAATGAGGCAGAGAGGGGAAAAGGACCTGTCTAGGGTCACAAAGCAAGGTCCGAAGGCCGGACTTTCTTCTCTCATTCTGTGTGGGAAAACGTCGGCAAACACCGCAGGGCGTTTGTTAATACTGGGTTATAAATGTGGAACAAGGTTCACGGGTTGCCCGGAGCGGGGCGCCGCTTCCTGGGGTGAGCCAGGTAGGTTTCCTGGGGAGTTGGTGTTGGAATAGGCTTCTTCGCCTGCTCGGTGTCAAGACTCCGACAGTCTTACCTGTCTCCCGCGGGCAGGAGGGCAGGTTCGTTCAGGAAGCAGTCGCACTCGAAACCTTGGTCGAGGGTCTCGGGGAGAGAGAAGATGAGTCACGACACGGAAGCCACAATCTCTGCCGGCCCGGCGCTCTGGTTTCCATAGCAACGGTCCCCCGGGGGGGGGGGGGGGGGTGTGGGAATCGACTGCGCCGGGTCTTTGGAGAAACCCCGGCTTCGTCTCCCCGCCCCGGAGCTGCCCCGCCTGGACTCACCTGGTTACCTGCCCTGCGATCAGGCGGGCACCACGGCAGCCCTAAAGGAGAAGTAGGGTCAGCTCAGCGCTCTGCAGCCCACTCCATTTCGCCCAGCCCGTCTCCACGGCAACGCGCCGTTTCGCCCCACGGCGGCCGCCGAGGGACAATCCTATCGCGTCCGCAGCTTCTCGGCTCTGCGAACCCGTCCTGCCCCCTGGGTCCTGCCTCCTTCTCGCGTCTCCCGGGCAACGGGCGGTTCTCAGCGCACCGCGCCTGCGCAGGCCCTCACTCCACTTCGGCGCCCGCCCGCCGAGCATGGCCTCCAAGCTGCCTGCGGTTCCGGAGTCGTTGTCGAGCGCGGAAGACCAGACTACTCAGCAGGCCAGGCCCTCGGTCACATGGAACCTGGGCTTGTCCACGGCTTCTGCGGACGCCGCCCAGGCCTCCACCAGCTCCGGTACCAACCCGGCCTCGGCCTTCTTCCGGCGCAGTAGGGTCGCCAGCCGCCCCGAAGTGAACGTAGGGGCCCGGCCTCAGATCTGCTTCCTGCGGCCGCGGACCACGCAGCCGCTGGTGTTCTTCAGGTGGGGCCCGCGTGCCCAGAGGGGTTGTCAGACCCCGGCGCCCCTGGGGGAGCCCGAACTCTCTCTGACCCCCGCCCCTGGGACCCCGGCCTTGGCTCCCCGGAAGCCTCGTGCTCCTCAGAGCCCGGCCCTCTCTTAGACCCTGGGAGAGTCTGGATTTCTTGCAGATCCGGCCCCAGGTCCTTCCCAGGCCAGCTCTTCCGCACCGCCGGGAACCCGGGAGCCCGAACGCCCCCAGCCCGGACCCCCGGGAGAAGCCGAAAATCCCACCTCCGACCCACACATCCAAATGGCCCGGCCCTACAGGCTCCCAGGCTTGACATCGTGTAACCCGAGGGTCCCCAGCGACCTTTGGGCCGAGCCTTGAGCTTCCTTAGAGCGTGGCGAGGCCCAGGTCCCCTCAAGCCTGACACCCCTCTCCTCAACCTGTACGTGCCCCAGTGGCTCTGGGAAAGCCCCCAGTTCCCTCAGCCCGGCCCCAAACCCCACAGACCCTCATTTCCCCTCCCACTTCCATTTCACAACCCCCTGACAGCATCCTCCAGGCTGCCACAGAAAGCAATTTGGTTCAAAATGGTTATTACTTGAAAGGGAATATTTCCAGTCACTGCCTTTCTTTTTTCCTTCCCAGGAAGTATTGGTAAATTTGGTGCAGCACTGAGTGAGTGAAGAGTGTTTTATGTGACTTTAAATATTTTAGGCTTTTTTTTTTTTTAAACAGGATTTAGGGGACTTGTACATGAGCATCTTGATCTCTAATCCAGTCTTTTCCACCACCTCATACCTTTGCTGTCAGAAAAATATAAATGGGAGATTGGGGATGTTTGTTTGTTTCTACCAGTTTGTAAATGTAAAAACATTCATAAAACCTTAGTTCTAAATTGGCTGAAAATGAAATAGAAAAAATGTTTTTAATCCTTCAAAATGTTTTATCCTTTAAAAATTGTCTTTTTTGTAGTAGACATTTATTATAGAAAAATCAAACAAGACAGACAAGCAAAGTGAATGGCCAGAGAGAATCACTGTTAACATTTTGGTGTATATTGTTCCAGATCCATTCATATATATGTACTACAATATGCTTACACATTTGGGGGGAGGAATATGTCACAAAAATGTTTACTATTTTGTAACCTGCTTTTTTTCCCCACCTAACACACTGTGGATATCTGTTTTAGTCATAACTTCACAGTATTTTATTGTATGATCTAACCACAATTTTTTCAATTCCTTCCCTATTATATATTTATATAGTTTCCAAATTTTAGAAAGAAGATATGAGCAATTATTTTTAAGTGGGCAAAAACATTTAAAGGTACATAGTTGCAAAACCGCTTCATGATGTAACTAAATTATCAAAAAGTGAAAACTCAGTGCCTTGTATTATCCTTTTTTTTTTTTTTGAGGAAAACTAGCCCTGAGCTAACATCTGCCAGTCCTCCTCTTTTTGCTGAGGAAGACTGGCCCTGAGCCAACATCACTGCCCACCTTCCTCGATTTTATATGTGGGACGCCTACCGGTGCCATGTCTCCACCCAGGATTCGAACTGGCAAACCCTGGGCTGCCAAAGTGGAACATGCACACTTAACCGCAGCACCACCAGGCCGGCCCATATTATTCATTTTTGACCAATTCCTTATTTTGACCAAATTGTTCTCTCTGGTTTCACCTGGAGCGCCTGGCTCCAATCCACCCCGCCCCACCCTACTCCACTCCATCTTCTACCTCTCACCCCCCAGTCTCCTCAAATCTTTGTCTACCCCAGACTTTCCTCACTTTTTTAGACTTTTTCCAAACCCTTTTCCCTTAGAATTCCCCTGTTAATTAACCAACCTAACCTCTGTTCAAACTCTTTATTCATTTTTTTCCCTGTTTCCTCTGACCACCTCTCCTCCCCGCTTCAGATGCCCCTTAGTCCTAGGCTCTGAAGCAGGTGCCTCCCACCTCAACCTCATTTTCTCCTTAAGACGAGGAGAGTTCTCAGGCCCTGTTGACACTTCTCTTTTGAATTGCTCTGGGCCTTTCTACATCCTTTTCAGGATGGCTTTTCCTCTCAGTATCCAAAACCCACCCCTTGAGTGCACGTTTTCCACAAGAAGAAACCTGGGTCTACTCCCTTGCTCTTCTGATAATTATGACAGAGCTGTGCCTCTCCTGAGAAATCTGGGGAATCCTCAACTACTACCCCAGGACCCCATCAGATCAGGCCCAGGCCTAGCCCTGGCCTCAGCCATCTCAACCTGTACCACCTTCCCCTCCTCTCTCCAGCTTAATGAATTCCAGTGAAGCAGCAATGAGAAATTTTCTACCCAAGAGCCACTTATCTCGGGTGATTACTCGTGACAACCTCTGTGCACAACGAATCTATGAGATGGAGGTAAAGTTAAAGCTTTTGCATTAGAGCGTGTTAGTGGCTTGACCCATGTTCATTTCACTCTCCCCAGTACCCGGGGGTAGATCACAGATCTTAGAGGTGATAGGGAGCCATCAAGGTGCTCTATGCAAGCCCCATTTTACAGAGGAGGCAAATGAACCTTGGGGTTAGTTATTTTTCCAAGGTGTCACAGTTGTCCTTGGGCCGAGTCTCTTGGCTCTTGTGGCACTTTTTTTTCTCAAAGCACATTACCTTTCTATTTAGGGAATCTGTGAGTGGATTCCTATTATCTCCCATAAAAAGAAGTCTTGCGTCCTAGATCTTGAAGTGGCACCAACACAACTTGATTAGTTTTTTCCTTCGAGGATTATCCCGCATTTTCAATATGAGAACTGAGGTTCTTCTGCCTTTTGCTTATGGACAAGTAGGGTTTGACCTGCTTACCCAAAAGCCCTCAGAAAAAGGGTGGGGAAACCACAATGCCAACACCCCATAGACTCTGCTTGATTAATTCATTGAAGGTATGTTTAGGGCCTGCTAGGCACTGTTTTGGTCATGAGGAAGAGACTAATGAATATGAAGGACTCTGAGGACATGCTTGTTTCTTCAAGCAGAGCAGGCAGCCCAGAGTTGAGCTGTTGCCCACTTCTTGACTCTGTTAAGCTTCCCTTCATGTTCCAGAGCCAAACCTGGATGGGTGCATGGGATTCTGACATCAAAAAGAGGGAGGCTTAAGAGATGGTGCCAGATCTTGAGCACCAGAGAGACCAAAAGAAGAGTCGAGGCCTGGGTGTTTCCCTCTGCTAAACTTCCTTTGGTGGAGTGGAATGGAAATTGGGTAGACTTGGAGATGGGCAGGCCAACTTCACGTGACCTTGGGGAATCACATTTCCTCTGGGACTCTTCTCATTTGCAAAATAGGATCTATTAGGATCCTCTCAGTTGCAGGTGACACGAACTGAACTTGAGCTAGTTCAAGCAAAATAGAGAATGAGAAGTTTACATAATCAAGGATAGATGGGCCAGGGTCACCAATACTTGGGATAGGAGAAACCAGGGGCTCCAATGCCATTGGATGTGTCCTCCACTCTCCTCTTCATCTCCTTTTCTGCTTCTTTCTGTATGTTGGCATCATCATCAGGCTGGCTGTCCCTGGGGTCCGTGGCCACAGGAATCCCTGGCCTGTAGCCCAGGAAGGAAATGCAGTGCTTCCACTGTTGCTCAAGTTAGGCAAATCCCGGAGAAGGACTCCATTTGGCCCCAGTTGGGTTATGGGCCCATCCATGCCCCAATCATTGTGGCCAGATGGTATGGGCTATTCTGACTGGCCCAGGATGGGTTGGGGGCCAACCCCTGTAACCAGTAGGTAGAGGATGTTGTACCTCTGGCAAGTGGAGTGAGGATCTCTGAAATCCTGTAACTGGAAACTCTCTTGAGTTGGCTTTATATGTGCCAGAGGGCTGTGCCATCTTCTGGTCATTCAGAAGATCTCCTGTTAAAGCTGTATTGAGCCATATGTGTTTTAGGTACTCGGCGTCCACTATGTATTATTATCTCATTTAATAGTTCAGAAAACTGAGGCTCAGAGAGATGGACTAACTTCACTAAGGTCACACAGTACGTCATTGCATGTTGCAGAGTTGCAGGCTCAGGTCTGACTGACCATGGTGCAGGACATTCTCTCTTAAGGACAGGGGCTGTCTTTGTGTTTGTAGATGCAGTGACTTGCTGAGGGCTCAGCTTGTAGGAACTCAGTGGATTTGAGAGGCCTGAGTGGCAGTTTGGCAGTGTTTTTGTTTCCCCCCAAAAGTGCTCACATTAGGGCAAGAGGCAGCTTCAGTTAGCCATTCATTTCTCAGGGCCTCAACAAGGACAGCCAAGGTCTAGTGTCTTGGGAATCCTCTGAGCAATTCTCTGAAAACAGTGGGTGATGGCTGGTATTCCTTCATCTCTGGCTGCGGATCTCAACTGGGGATGGTTTTGCCCCTCAGGGGACCTTGGCAATGTCTGAAGACATTTTTGGTAGCACAAATGAGAGTGGGGTGGTACTGCTACCATTGAGTAGCTAGAGGCCAGGGATGCTGCTAAATATCCTACAATGCACAGGACAGTCCGCCACCGCAAAGAATTACCTGGCCCCAAAGCTCAATAGTGCCAAGGTTGAGAGATCCTAGTCCATAGTAAAAGTGAAATCACTCTCTGCCTTGCTTAGAAATATTTGTGTGTGTGTCCCAAATATTTGGGAAATACCTTCACGACTGTGTTGTAGTCTCCGTGAAGACCTGTGGTTGATTTTTCTCAGTATCCTCTCCATAGCTAGCTCATTGGAATAAATAAGTGGACGAGTAAGACAAAGGATATGCCTTCCCAGAGCTTACAGTCTTATTGGGGACAGGACAGAAATGATATGACAGAAGAAATAAGTAGAGTTCAGTGTCATGTAAGGCATGTCACCAACAATATGTAGGAAGCACCAAATGAGCAGTGCACTGTTAGGAGTTAAGGAAGCTGGGAGGAACGAGATGCAGCCTTTCTCCACCCACCCCTCCCCTCCTCTTTCTAACTAGTCTTCGCATAGAGATGTTGAGGTCAATAGCACATTCCTGTCCGAAGATACCAGAGGATTATCTAGCTCAATGCCCACATTTTACAAATAGGAAAATGGAGGCTCCCTGTGAGTCACATTGTTTATGGAATATTGGGTCCAGCTGGCACATTTTCCATCCCCATAGCAGCAGCACAGATAACCTCTCTTGCTGTGAAGTAGCTTCTTTATCATAACTTCACCTCTGTTTTTTGTAAGATAAGAGCTTCAGACAAGACCAAGAAAAAGATGAGCCACTTGTATGACCACCTGAAAAAAAAGTTCATGACGGACCAGCTCAGAAAGCTGGGGCGCTGGAGACGGGAATCCATGAATGTCCAGCAGTACCTGGATAGCATCCGATTGCATCCGTTCCAGTTGAAATTCCATCCTGAAGAGAAAATCCGGCCACCCTAGTCAAGGCAGAATCATCTTCCCCAGAGCCATGACGACACTAGGCTGATGGGAGAAAAAGAGCTAGAAACTAGCTAGCCTACACTGTCATAGAACAACAATAAACCCAGACCAGTGGACAGTGGAGCACAAAAACCCTCAGCAATTGTGCTGTTCCTGGCCCCGCCCCATCCCCTCTGTTCTGGTGAAGGAGTCCTGGTAGTCCTGTAGCTGCCCAAGGGGAAGAGGCCCAATCAAGCTGGCTTACACGGTTAAGGCAAAGATCGACTGTTGGTATCCACATGCCTGAGGTCAAGTGCCAGGCCAGGTGTGCTGGGACATCGGTACCTTAGATGAGAAGGGCCACTGCTTAGCATTCCAGTGGTAAGGAGGTCAAGGGGTGGGGCATCAGACAGACCTGAGTTAAGTGCTATTTCTGCCATCTATCTGCTATGTGACTTTGTAACCTCTGAGCCTTTGTTTCCTTATCTGAAAGGGATAGTAGTGAGGGAACCTGCCTGCAAGAACTGGTGTGAGGATGTGGAGTACTTGGCCCAGGGCCCATCATTTCCAATGGCTCTCATCATGATGGCTCCAGTTGGCTTCCAGCCTTGCCAGTCCTCACTCTCTGGCTTGCCTGCTGTCCCAACTACACCCTGACTTCACATTGTGCTTTTACTCACGGCAGGCCCCTCATCTAGAATGCCTCTTTAGCACCTCAGGGCTCTCAGGAAACTCTTCATCCTTCAAGGCTTATTTCACTGCCACTCCCCACCCTCCCAACCCTCCCACCCCCAGCAAAGCTTCTCAGACCTCCTTCTGCCTCCTGCCTGCGCCTTTCCCTACCCTGCCTAAGCCACATGGGTCTCGTCTCTCCTCTGAACTTGGATTACCTGTGGTGGCTTCACTCCGCCTTGTAGCTATTGGGTACTTGTCCCAACCCCTGATTAGGTTGTACAGTCTTTGAGAGCAGGGAGCAAAGATCCTTCAAGATTCAGTTCAGGCCTCTTCTGTGGCACTTCCCCTACCTGGCCCCAGTAGAAAAGGCCACTCCTTCCTGTTCCCACACCTTTGCACCCAAGGGGGCGTTGGCCATTTCTTCTTTGCTCACTGTTTCCCTGACCAGGTTGTAAAATGCCTTGTTGGCAGGGACGCTGACTTACTCATCTTTGTAACCACAATGCCTAGTAAATGGAGCAATCACTCAGTGTTTTTTGAATAAATGACTATCTTATTCCTTTTTTGTATTATAGCTTCAGCACAGTGCACAGAGTAAGGGTCTGGTACGTATTTTTTTAACTTAACCAAGTCCCCTAATTTTACAGATGAGGAAACTGAGGCCCAGAGAGGTGACCTGACTTGCCCAAGGTCACTCAGCAAGTTAGTGGCAAAGAACTAGAAGCAGGTTTCCTGACTGCCGTGGAGTGGTCATTCTGCATCACCACAGCTGCTGGGTAAGGACCTCAGTCCTCTTGATGGCTTTCGGAAGTCCTCCTCAGGAAGTCCTCATTCATCGTCATCCTCATCACGTCCCTCTACCCTTGATGCCTGGCGCCATCTGGCAGCCCTTCTCTAAGCTGGATCTTGGCGATGCCCCAGCCCATCAGGGGCTGGAGTCGGGGTGGGGAGCCAGATGTTCAAGGTGTTTTATTTTCCCCCTCTATGGTCTTGCTTTGAGAACTGGAGCATGCTACATTTCAGTGGGAGCCAAACAGTCTTTTTCTAGGTTCTTGTCTGTTTTCTTGGCTGAGTGCAACTGATTAGAATAATTAATTTTAAATATTTAAATTTTGTTACACAAGTAATATGACCACATTTACCAAAAAAGCCTATTAGGTCAACCACTGCTAGCATTTTGGTGTATTTCTTACATTTGGTAGATTTGTTTCATTTCAAAAGTCTTTTCTTCCTTGGCACTGTATATAGAAAGGGGAAGGGCTTTGAGTTTTCAGAGGGCCTGCAGAGCAGCCCCAGCCCCTCTTTTCTCCAGACTCTCTGAAGGAACTCTCCACCTCCTAGGTCTCACCTAATGCAGCCTCTCTGAGCCTTACTCCGATCTAGTCTCCAGCCATATGCACCCTGGATGGCTGGCCTTGGCTGAGGGTCTTTGCATCCTCATGCTGTGGTCCAAAGGACTGGAGGGCCCCTGGGAATGGAGTGGGTGAGGAGTTGGGATGTCAGCCTGATGAGTGCCTTTATAAATCACTAACGCACCTCTGATTGTGTGGACTTACTCTTTCCATTTTTGCGTTAAAAACCAGAGGATGTTAAATTTGAGTAGGGAACAAGAAGTGATGAAATTCTGGAGAGGCTGCTTAATTCTTGGGAGGGAAAAAGAAGATTAAGGGAAAGAAAATGAGTGAGGGAACAGGGAAGAATAGAAGGGTGTTAGATGGGACTTTATTGTTTGAGAAAGAATTTGGAGCTAGGGAGGGGTTTAAAGGTTCTTTAGTCCAGTGAACACACCACACATATACACACGGAACTCTTAGTCCAAGTAAAATCTTATCTGGAAGCCCGTTCTAGTAATGAAAACTGTTGCGCTATTAACATTTATTGAGCACTCATGTGCCAGGCACAAGGCTCAGCTCTTTTTAAACATAATTCACTGAATCCTCCCAACAACAATTTAGGTAATTTTCTGAGCCGTTTTATAGATGAGAAATTGAGGCTCAGAGAGTGAGAATCCTGCCTGAGGTTGGGCAGCTAGTAAGCGACAAAGCCCACCTCAAGCCTGTCTCACTCTGAAGACCATATCCTAACCACCACGTGGCAAGTTCCCTGTCTTTATCACTCTGGTTGGAAGTGGAGGAGCCGGGACCTGGAGCCCCCTGGAGCGTGATTCCACAGATGGTGTTGTGGGAGCCTCAGCTGTAACATCAGTTACCTGAGGTCAGCTATTTAACAGAGGGATGGACTAAAACCCAGGTCTCCCTTCTATCAGATGGCTAAGAAGGACTTGTCACCCATTCTGGGATGGATAGGCTGTTAGGTGGAGTTAAGCTGGGTTAGGGAGATGTGGATGAGGGAGATGCTCACCCAGGAAGTAGAAGAATGGGACGCAGGAGTCCTGACCACCACCCATTAGCTGTGAAAAGATGTCCTCAGTTTTGCCCTTGGGAATCTTTGTGGAACATCCTTTGTGTCTGAAGAATTGTGCCGATGGCAGGGGACAGATGAATAATACTCTCTTTAAAGGGATCAAGTGTGTTTGAGCATACTTTTAATTCTTGCTGAAAATACATTTCATTCCTTCCTCCCCTAGTGCCAAATGCATGTCACTACTTGAGAGTACTTTGAAAAACTTCCCAGTTTAAAAAACTTGTTGGGTGCTCAGTGGACCTTGTTCTTTCCCTCTCTAGAATTTCTCCACAACCTGGAACAAAGGAGGGAACTTCTGTTTACCAAGCACCTGTTACATGCAAGGCCTTTTATATCTTCCCTTATTCAGTCCTCACAACACTTGTCAGGTATCACGCCCATCTTACAGGTGACAAAACCAAGGCACAGAGAGGCCGAGGTACCTACTCAGAATCACTAGGTTTGAACCAGGGTGTGACACACGTAAGGCATGCTCTTTCCATGCTATCCAGCTGCCCTCTTGATCCTCAGCTTCATTGCCAGCATCCACCTCAATTCCACCCATTTTTGGCCACAGGAACTGCTCTGTGAGGGATGCCCATGTTGCGGGCCTCCTGTTCATGGCTTTCCTCCTTGGGTACCATTGTTGACCATGGTGGTCAGTGACACAATGGGGAGGAAGTCTTGGATGAGGACTCATTCTCCTTACAGTGAGTCCCAGCTCCAGACTATCAGGCCCCGGCAGGGGCTTCAGAACTCCAGTAGGTGGATGTGGAGCAGCCTGCCAAGGGGCGAGACAGCTAAAATTATATGGGCAGCTTGTCAGGGAGCAGGGGAAGTCAAGTAGCTGCTATAGTTGCAGCTAAAAGTGATCCCCAAGTCCTTATATATGCTCCCATCTGTCTATCCATCCATCCATTCATCCGTCCACTCACCTATCCATCTGTCCATGTGGCCTTTCAATACACAATAAGAACACAAAGGTGGAGGAACTGGTTTTCTTGTTTGCTGTGTCACCCCTCACTTTTTCTGATCTGTGTGGGGAAGCGGGGTGACCTGCCAACCAGGAGTGCCTCTGCCCTGATTCACTCTGACCTTGGTCAAGTTACCTCTCCACTCTGAGAGTTTGGGGAGCTGGAAAAACCTTAGAGCTGCCTTCTGCAGGTCATTTCTTCTATTTACCGACGGGTAACTGTGGCTGGGAGTGGGGAATTAACTTGCCAAGGTCAGATAAGGAATTAGTAATGGATTTAGGACTGGATCCCAGGGTGCTGCCACCCACTTGTAAAGTGGGAATGGGAATCCTGGCTCTCCTCACCTCCTGGGATTGTAGGGAGGACCCCAGGAGGTAAGTGGGGCTGAGTGCACAGATTTACGAGAATGAAATGGCCATGGGAAAACACTTTGAGAAGTGAGGTCACCAGACCAGAATGTCCCAGAGGTGGATCCCAAGCCCTTTCTGCTGGGCCTGGACAGATCCCTCGGTGACCACAAGAGGTCAGCAGACACTTGTGTGCTCAGCTAGGATCTGCTGGAAGGCCTGTGTGTCAGGGTCTGGGAGGGAGGCCAAGTTGTTTAATTCCTGGGGACCCCTAGCACAAACAGGTAGGGGCAGCTCCTTGAACTGTGAAGTGTTACTCTGGGTATTACAATTCAGAGCCGGGTCCAGCTGCTGACTTTGGAATTCTGCATGGCTATGAGGGCTGAGAGGGCAGAGCCAGGAGCAGGCCTTGGACTAGGACTCCCTGCCTCCCCCAGCAACCTTTCTCTGGGCTTCAGCTCTCCCACCTGCAACTAGGTGGGCGCAGTGCTGGTGGCTGATCTCTGCACTTCCAGAGTTCAGATCCAGTTCTCAGATCCTGAGATGTGGCACAGAGCTTTACACACATAATGCTCCATAAATACCTGCTGAGTGGATGGGAGCAACTCCTGCTCTGAGGAAAGCCAGAAAAATCCAGGCTTAACAAAATGATAATTTGATAATTTGTCGTGATTTTTGCTTTACTAATGTATTTATCACTTAACAAATTGTTTTCTGATGGAATTCCTTTAACCAGTGTGCTCATCTGGGAGCATTTTCAAAGGTTCTCTCGCCAAGTCATTGTTATTCAAGTGCACATCCCCCCTAGGGTTGAGTTGGCTCTCAGCCGGTAGGACTCCCCCACCCAGAAGCTTTGTGTGATGGTCTTTCTCGTTTCTCCCTGTGGCTCACCGGCAGTCACGTTCCATTTCAGCATGTGTTTACTGAGCTCCTCATGGGGCCCAGGCACTCTTGTAGGTGCTGGAAGTCTTGTAGGTGCTGGAAGTAAACAAAACCGACTCAAATCCCCTGTCCTCATGGAGCTTGTTCTATGTAATGGAGTCCCTAGAGGACAAAGAGAATCCCATAAAAACCCCGGCTGATGGTGGCTGAGCCTTTTTTGGGCTCTACAGAGAGAATCGGTTTGAGCTACATTTGCCCTCATCAGCCCTTTGGCCCCTGGAAGTGCTGCCCACAAGCCTTGAGGGCCACATATGTCCTCATCCCTCGGGGCTGCAGTGAGGTTTCATTCATCTGATGTGCCTGGGCCCTCAGGCGGATGGCTCAGTTGGAATCTCGTCTCTGCCTCTCAGGAGAAGTCGTTTCACTCTCTCAGAGCTTCAGCTTCCTCATCTGAAAACCAGGAGGAATTGCACCTACTTCAGAAGCTTGTTCTGAGAACCCAGTGAGCTAATGCTCGTTAAGAACCTGGCACGAAGCCCGGCACCTCATGGGGTAAATGTGAAGGGCGTTGTGGTGACGATTGTAATTATTGTGCTATACTTGGAATTGACATGTAAACCTCAAGAGGCAGCTTGGTGCAGGGAAGTGAGCCCCAGAATAAGGATCTAGAGATAGGGGTTCAGCTTCTGTGACTCCTTAATTTGCTCTAGACTCTGGACAACATACATCCTATCTCTAGGCCTTGGTGGATTTCTCTCTTTCTTCATATTTCAGTTAATCCCTAAGGAGGAGGAAGTTGGACTGAGATACATCCATAGCCTATTAGGGACCTCGTAGCCTCCTTAGGTCAGTGAACCTGGTCATAGAACAATGGCCAGTCATTGGGGCCCCAGAGCCAAGCCTTCTTCAGATAATGCTAGGGGGCTGAGTGCACAGGCTTTACGAGAATGAAATGGCCATGGGAAAAAATTGTTCCTTAGCTTCATTCAAAGGGCAAATTAGAGGACTGGGAGGGCCTGATCCTGTGGAACCTAGCTTTCCAAGCTTTTTTCCCATTCTCCTTCCCATGAGCCAAATCTCATGAATTCTCTCTCTTCTCCAAAGAGGCTTCTTAGTTTTTTACTTCTGAGCCTTTGATCCTACTGTTCACCCTGCTAGGAATACAGCCCT